ATTTCAGAGGAAGGTCTGAGAGTTCAGAGCCAGAGTTTCTGCAGGGAGCCCCTCAAAGGGCGATTGTGTGAACTGTGTGGGTAGAGCTGAAGACATTGTAGAGACCCCAGGAAGTTAGAGATGCCAGGAATGTGGAACTTTCACTGAGGAAAGCTGCAGGGTAGTGAGCACAGCCAGCCCAGGGGAGAAGCCCTGTGGACTGCAAGTGGTAAGGTTGTAGGGGTAAGGCCACCCAAACCCTCTGGAACTCACATCTCACCACCTTATGTCCTGATGCAGACATGAAGTTGCAGGACTTAACGTTTTCCGTACTGGTTTTTGTTCTTGATTTGGTCTAATTCTTTTCTATTTTCCCTACTCATCCCTTCTGAAATGGGAATGTTTACCTGTGCTGTTGTATCTTGGGAGTTTGTAACTTGATTTTTGCATTATAAGAGTTCGTAGCTAAGTTTGCCTTGAGCCTCAGAGGAGACTTTGGATATGGACTTTTGAAAAATGTTAAAGATGTTGAAACTTTAACTTGATTGGTGTGAGGCATGTCTATCAGGTTAGTAAACACACTTTGGGGTGTGTCTGGGTGGGTCATGAAGGCATCACCTTGGGGACTATATAGCTGGTCCCAGTCCCCTTCCTCTCCAAATTTTCCCTTGCCTCTCAGATGTCCTAAGTTGAGCCGCTTTCCTCCACTGTACCTTTCCAGCATGATGTTTCTACCTTAGAGTGAGCCAACCATGGACTTAAACCTTTGCAACCATGAGCCAAAATAAACCTCTCCTCCTTTAAGTTGGTAACAGGCTGTTGGTCACAGGAACAGGAAGATAACTAATACAGAGACCTGGACAAAATCTAATAATAGAGCCAGAGCTCAGTTCAGATATCTTGTTGGCTCCAGGTTCATCAGCAGTCCCTGCTCACCTACTCCCGTGAGGCTGGGCCCAGAAAGCACAAGATTATATGTGTCCTGGCCATGCCCACCAGTTCCAGAGAGACAAGATATGGTTTCCAGAGGAAAGTCCATATCCATAGACCAAAGCTAAAACCATGTAAGAGCCTGGGTGTGGGGACTGGGAAAGTAGAGAGAAAGACTTCTCAAGCCATCCTTGACTCTCATCACCAAGGTCAAGAAGTCTAAAAACAGGAAAGCTGTGGCTCCCAGTAATCCATCAGCTCACCAGGCCCAGCAAACACCTTGCACCTGTCTCCAGCTCCAGAAATGCTCATTAGCGTACAAATTAAATACCAAAGTGCTAAGGGGACACTGAGTGAGGAATTGAGCTATGTTAGCTAAGACCCAAGCCAGAAAAGTCCTTGGCAGGGTAGAGTTTTAGCCAACTTTGACAGGAAGCACAGAATATGAACTTGGCATAGAAGGGACACCATGAAGTGTAGCTTCTCTGGAGGCAATCATGCACGAGGATGATCAGGCCTGTAAGAGATGTATTCCCAACATTTTGAATCTGTCTGGGATGCATAAAACACATCTCCCAAAAAGTAAAACTTAAGCATCCACAACACTCAGGTTCTCCTCCGCCCACTTCCCCCATCAAGTACTGGATGAGGCACCACTACATTTGCTTACCCCTGATTCCAACTGTGCAACCAGAACTGAGTTCTTAGGGGAAATGCACCTCAAGTCCTACAGTCTAAAGCTACCTGCTTCCCAGGCCCCCTGCAGAAAGCTGAGCAAGACAGGCCTCTGAGACCCACTCTGTGCCTCTGTCTTCTCCAGGATTTTCCCAGAGGTTCTGATTTGGGGAACGAAAGACAATTACCTATGAAAGTAAGGTCCTTTATGAGTCCTTCTACCTATCCATAGCTCAAGCTGAAGTTGGGTCCTGATCCTGGGGTCTGCCTGTGAGAAGTAAGAAGCATAGTTAGAGAACCCGGGAGGGATTTCAGGGTCAACGGGAACCCTAGGAAGTCAGTAACAGCAGTGAGGGAAGCTCCTCTGTTAAGAAATGTGTCATGGTGAGGAGCAGGGTCCCAGCAGCATTTGAGGAGGACTATTGGAGGGCCTGAGAAACCAGGGCTGAAAGAGAGTGGTGGCCAGCAGCTGCAGCATCCAGTGCACTGTGCAAGAACAGGACTCTGGACACTGCAGGCTTTGGGGAGTGGTCTCACCCCAGGCACAAGGGAGGACAGCATGGCAGTCACCCAGACCTCCCAGCATTGTGCAGCTCTGCCCTCAGCTACTCACAGAAGATTTTACTGGTAGCTTGACCATGCCCTCCTCCCAAAAGGAAAAGGGAAAGTGTCTCCCTGCATCTTGACCTGGGGTGACCCCAGGTGTTGCCATATGTGCCATTATAGCCTTGCATGGCCAAGAGACTTTTTTCCCTAAGAAAGTGGTCCATGTACCACTCAAGTACATGCTGGGGGTGCGGGGAGAAGACCAGGCAGGGCACTGGAACCTCCTCATGTGGACTCACTCTGCAGTGCTTAAAACTTGTAATCTGCTAGGGTCCAAAACCAGGGTTCACTTTAAAGACAAGAGTACAGCCAAGTGTGGTGGCACATGCCTATAATCCCAGCACTTGGAAGGCTGTGGTAAGAAGATCACCTCAAGTTTGAGGCCAGTCTGGGCTACATAGTGAGTTCAAGATCAACCTGGACTACACAGCAAGACCCTGTCTCTAAAAACTGAAAAGAGAGAGAGAGAGAGAGAGAGAGAGAGAGAGAGAGAGGGAGGAGCAACACAAGGTGATAGTGCACACCCGGAATCCCAGCACTCTGAGAGTAAGGTTTGGGCCCAATCAGGACAATGTAGTGGCTAAGCAAGACCCTGTCTCAAAATGTAAAATTCAAAAGGACTGGGAATACAGCAAAGGCTCTAGGTTCAATCCACATGGGGAGGAGGGCAGAGAGAGAGACAAAGACAGACAGACAGACAGAGCTGGCACATCTTATATATGTGCATGTGAGTCTCCTATAAGACCCAAATCTTTTACAATTACTCTTCAGTTGTGTTCTCTCAGCAGCTCCAGAAATGGATGAGATCGAGGGACAGGTGCTGCCCTTACTATTTTCACTTCACAATTCAGAAATGGAGGCCCAGAGAGTTTAAGCAACATGCCCCAGGTCACACGGTTGGTCATAGAGATGTGACTTACCAGGACTCAAACTCTGCCAGCCCGTCTCCAAAGCCTACCCTTCAACTTCTACTCTAAATTTCAAAATTGGGCTCCTAGAAAGCATTTTGTCACATTGAAGGGTGGTTTTGCTGTGGGTACAGCTCTGTGCATCTCCAGGACAGTGAACACTCTGTGGCCTTGGGAGTGCAGGGCCCAAGGCCTGCTGTGACTCGTAGTACCCCAGGATGAGAAGCATGCTTCAGGTTAAGATAGCGTGAACAAAGGGTAGGACAAGAGAGCCCACAGATCTAGGTAAGAAAGTCCACGGAGCTCTAAAGGATTGCAGATGAAAGGGAAAACAGAATGAAAATCAGTGGACACACAGATTGGGCCTGGGTGGCCCTGGGGATGATGTGTGGGAGCCTAGTTACCCCAGCTACCTCCTCCTGCTTGGGCTGGGGTGAGTAAAGGAAACTTGGGAGGCTAAAGAGCATGGTACTCCACAGTGCTATCCTGAAGCAAACCCATTTCCCTCCATAAAACACCTAAGCCCTCTGCTCTGCTCCATTCCAGAGCGATGGGGCGAGAGAGCCTGGCCCTGGGCTGTGTCCTGGCTGCCATCTTGGCTTTGCAAATGGTGACCACAGAGCACCCGCCACAGACACTGCCCAGCAGGGCCCAGCTCTTTGCGGACCTGAGTGCCCAGGAGGTAAAGGCAGTGCACAGCTTCCTCCAGTCCCACCGGGAGCTGCGACTGCAGCCCTCAAAGACAGCCACCATGGCCAAGAACTCAGTGTTTCTCATTGAGATGTTGCTGCCCAAGAAGAAGCATGTGCTGAGATATCTGGACACAGGAAGGAGGCCTCCTGTGCGGGAAGCCCGGGCCATCATCTTCTTTGGGGCCCAGGAGAACCCCAACATCACCGAGTTTGCTGTGGGGCCCCTGCCACAGCCCTCCTACATGCGAACGCTGAAGCACCAGCTCTCCTGGGCTTCCAGGCCCATGACCTCAGTGGAATACACCTTCCTCTTCAACACCCTGAAAGAGACCACCAAGCCCCTGCATCAGTTTTTCCTGGACACCACGGGCTTCTCATTTCAAGACTGTGGCAACCGGTGCCTGACCTTCACCGACGTGAGCCCTAGGGGGTTGGCCTCTGGCCAGCGCCGCAGCTGGATTATTGTACAGCGCCGTGTAGAAGGCCATTTCTTGCACCCCACTGGGCTGGAGCTCCTGGTGGACCACGGAAGCATGGATGTCCAGTGCTGGACAGTGGAGCAGGTCTGGTACAATGGGAAGTTCTACCGGAGCCCGGAAGAGCTGGCTCGGAAGTATGCAGATGGAGAGGTGGACGCTGTGACCCTCGAGGGACCACTGCCCAAGGGCCAGGGAACAGAGAGCCCAGAGGATCCGCCCTTGTTTTCCTCCTACAAGCCCCGTGGGGACTTCTCCACGCCCAGCCACATAGCTGGCCCCCGCCTTGTCCAGCCCCATGGCCCTCGCTACAGGCTGGAGGGAAACTCCGTGCTCTACGGGGGCTGGAGCTTCGCCTTCCGTCTGCGCTCCTCCTCTGGGCTGCAGGTCCTGAACGTGCACTTTCAGGGTGAGCGCATCGCTTATGAGGTCAGCGTGCAAGAAGCTGTGGCACTGTACGGAGGACACACGCCTGCGGGCATGCAGACCAAGTACCTCGATGTGGGCTGGGGCTTGGGCAGTGTCTCTCATGAGTTAGCTCCTGGCATTGACTGCCCAGAGACGGCCACCTTCCTAGACACCTTCCACTACTACGACGCTGATGACCCTGTCCTCTACCTCCGAGCCCTCTGCCTCTTCGAGATGCCCACTGGTGTGCCCCTTCGGCGGCACTTTGACCCCAACTTTAGCGGTGGCTTCAACTTCTATGCAGGGCTGAAGGGTCACGTGCTAGTGCTACGGACAACCTCGACTGTCTACAATTACGATTACATTTGGGACTTCATCTTCCATCCAAACGGGGTGATGGAAGCCAAGATGCATGCCACAGGCTACGTCCACGCCACCTTCTATACCCCCGAGGGGCAGCGCTACGGCACCCGCCTGCAGACCCATCTGCTCGGGAACATGCACACCCACCTGGTGCATTACCGAGTTGACATGGATGTGGCAGGTAGGACTCAGAACCAGGCCTCCAGGTCACACATCTGCACCCAACCGGTAACTTACACTTCAGTGACTCCAGCTGCTTCTCACCTGACCTGGGGCAAGGGAGGAAGCTCAGTCCCTAGAAAAATGATAAGGCACTGAAACTCCCTGACATAAAATCAGTAGTTTCATATAAAACTAGAGATTTGGGTCCCCCTGAATAGCCCCCACACTGCACCCCAGTGCCACAGTGTGGATCTGTCCTCACCCTGCAGCTAAGCTGAATAGAAAGATGTGCATGAGCTAGGTGAGGAGATCCCTGCCTAAGCACCTTGAGCTGAGTACAGTGACACCTGAGGACGCTCGGTGTTTCTCTTGATGAACGATGTCATCGTAGAAGCATGGCATGGGTGTCATGCCTGACATCACATCCCGTAACAAAACAAGGCCACTGTGAGCAGACGGGCGGCTTCCACCTGCTGACTCAGAGTGAGCCAGCTGCTGGCTCTCATGCCCTGAGCTGCCCTGTTCTGGGGCTGCAACTACAGCAGTGGTTTAGCACAGCTCATGAGAGACCGGCTAGTGTCACGCTGGGATTGCTGCCTTTGCCGTGACCAACCCATGAGTGATCTTCCAGTTCCTCTGATTTTTATAATCCCCTCTCTCCACCCACAAAGCTAGCCCAGGATGTGTGCCCAACACCCTCTTCTTCCTGGTGGCTTCTGCTGTTGGATGGAGGTCCCAGGGCAGAAGAGGGAGGTTTCCCTTCCAAATACTTGAATCTCATTCTCCTTTCCTCTGTATGAGGTATGGTTGAAATACAGGGTCCGTGTTAATGTTTTTAAAAAATTGTTACAGAAAAAGACACACTGCCACGAACCCTCCTCACTTTGAACACACTCACCCCATCGCTCTTGCCACTTTCTGAAGCCGCTCTGGAAGTCCTCTTTCGTGAGTGTCTTTAGTTGTGTTCTCCTGGATGACTTGATGTCCTGAATCAGCTCAACCCATTTCCCTTCCATGGTCGTTTGAACTTTGGGGAAGAGCCAGAAGGCACATGGTGCCACGTCTAGTGAGTAAGGCAGAAGAGGACACAATGTGATGTTCTAAGAGCCTGTCTTCCCATAGGGTGACACTGGGAAGCCGCATTCACCAAATTTTTTCTCATGCCTCAGAAAGACACACGGGAAAGTGGGCTTCTAAAACTGCTTCAGAAAGTGGCAAGAAAGTCAGCATAAGTGTGTTCAAAGAGAGGGCAAGCGTTCTGAGCGGCACTCATGGCAATATGTCTTTTATTGTCCAAACTTTTTTAATTCAGATTTTCCCTATATATTTGGATCACACTGTGTGTACCTCCAGGCACCAAAAACAGCTTCCAGACACTTCAGATGAAGTTAGAAAACATCACCAACCCCTGGAGCCCAAGACATCACCTGGTCCAGCCAACTCTCAAGCAGACTCGGTACTCCCAGGAGCACCAGGCAGCCTTCCGCTTCGGGCAGCCTCTGCCCAAGTACTTGCTCTTCACCAGCCGTGAGAAGAATCCCTGGGGCCACGAGCGCAGCTACCGCCTGCAGATCCACTCCATGGCTGAGCAAGTGCTGCCCGTGGGCTTGCCAGAGGAGCAGGCTGTCACCTGGGCCAGGTGAGGGGACTCAGGGGACGGGTGAGATCCAGCTGCCTCCTCGGTGTCCTGTGTGTCTGTCTGTGCTTCCATCGCAAGGCTCTGTGTCTGTGTGTGAGTCTAGGTGAGCGTCTCCCAGCCCTCCACTGGCGGTGGGAGGTCTTCCCTCCATGCTGGGGAACAGCAGCGTCCTCATGTCTGACTCTGCGGATGCTCGCTGGGAGGGGCTGGGCAGCCACTTCCGCACCCAAAGCTACCTGGCTTCCCCTCGCCCGTAGGTACCCCTTGGCAGTGACCAAGTACCGGGAGTCAGAGCTGTGCAGCAGCAGCATCTACAACCAGAACGACCCCTGGGACCCCCCTGTGGTCTTCCAGAAGTTTCTTCGAAACAATGAGGGCATTGAGAACGAGGTATCAGCCCACTCCCCACCCTGCCTCTGGCCTAATCACCAGCAGAGTCCTATGCAGCCTCGGCCCAGGCCTGTCCCTGTCCGAGGGCTCGCTAGGTGGAGGCCAAACTCAGAGATCACGACAGATCCAAACAGGGGTTTGGGAGCGCTCAGGAGGCTTCCGGAAGCTGCCTCCAGTGGTCAGTACTCAGCCCGCCCTCTCTCCTGCAGGACTTGGTGGCCTGGGTGACAGTGGGCTTCTTGCACATCCCCCACTCAGAGGACATCCCCAACACATCCACGCCTGGAAACTCCGTGGGCTTCTTGCTCCGGCCCTTCAACTTCTTCACAGAGGACCCATCCCTGGCGTCCAGAGACACTGTGATTGTGTGGCCCCGGGACAAGGGTCCCAACTACATCCAGCACTGGATCCCCAAGGACACGGACTGCTTGAGGCCTCCGCCTTTCAGCTACAATGGCACCTACAGGCCAGTGTGAGGAGCCCGGCCCCAGCTCCTGCCTGATGCCCAGGAGCCCCAGAGGGCAGGCAATAAACCGTCAGCACCCGGCCTGTGTGCTGTCCTTGGGGGATGGCAGGGTGGGCATGGCCACAAGCACACACATGCAAGCACACGCGGCTGGGGGTGCTATTCACATTCGTGTGCTGCACCTCCCAAAAGACCTCCGTGACCAGGGCTGGGACCCACGGAGCCAGGAAGGAAGTGGGTTACGCTGATCTAGGGCAGCTACATGCAATGGTTCGTAAAAGATTTCCCACCCTCCTCTCCTCCAGGGTGCCACTCAGGCTGCCTTGAAGGCGGAGTGCCATCTCGCACTCCATGTCCGTGTTTCTCCTCGCCGTCTGCTTGGGTGACATTCATGGCACCTGGGGGGACCTGCTGAGTGCCTGAGAGCCCAGGACAGACAGATCCCGAATTACACGCCTCTTCCTATCCTCCCCTCAGCTGCGCTGTTGAATCCTCATCACTTGCCCCATTCCCTTGGCTACCACAGTCCCTCAATGATATCCACCCCAAGGAGATGGCAAGAGGACCCGAGCCTCCCCTCCCCCGAGAAAGCAGCCCCAAGAACCCCAGGGACCCCACAAATTCTCCTGCAGGCCGCTATTTCTAGCCTCCTTCCCTGCAGCTCCAGCTTCTACAGTCTAGCATTGCTGCCATCCTTCTGGTAAGCAAACCCAATGATGCACCTGGCCAGGGATACACAGGCCTGGAAGACAAAGTCCTGTCCTCAAGATACCCACAGTCCCATGGGAGACAGGCCTGAGGAAGGCCATCAGACAGAGCCGGACATCCTCAGTCACGTTCTGAGTTTCTGGTGTATTTTTACGTATAAAAACTGGCAGCAATCTGGTCTGACCCTAGAACCGCCAGTGGCCCCACTTGATTAGATAGTGCGGCCCCTGTGAACCTGCTCAACAGCTGTTCGTTGTGTGGCCCCCATGTTCTCAAGTACCCAGCACTGCAGACCCCGAGGCCAGCTCCATCTGGGCAAGTGAATCCTTGCTGATCTCCGCGAGCACTTGGGAGGGGAACGGTGTCCTGCACAGCCCTCCTTAGGCAAGAGAACCGAAAGCAGCCGGTGTTCCTGGCCAAGTCCCTAGCCACAACCCAAGAGTGGGAGTCCCCAGAAATCAGGCCCCCCAGACTCCTCAGTGCCAGCCTGGCTGACCCTCTGCCAACCTGGATGGCTTCAAGAAATCAAGCTGGATAGCATGGCCCGAGCAGCTGCCCAGGGAGCCATCGTTGAGAATGACTCCCAGCTCTTCCCGGGCCAGAGGTGGCATAAACAGGGCACAGTCTTCATTAGCTGCAGGATCACATAAGGGTGGGGACAAACAAGAAACCCCAGCGTTCTGAGCTATTTCATCAAGACTGGGCTTGGGGGCCTTAGCTCAAACCTCCAGGGACCCAAGGGGCCAAGCCCTCCATCCCATAGCCTTCCTTCTGCCTTTGGGTAACACTAAAGCTTTCTTCTCGGTTAGGTTTCCTAACAAAGGGTCGCCTTCATGTACAAGCAGAGCTCACTGACATCCAAGCCTGTGCTCGTCCTGGGCAGCACAGCCAGGGACTCCTGCCCACCAGAACCAGCGGCATGTCTCGTGTGCACCAAAGGAAATGCAGCCCTTCGGCCCAAACTATTAAGAATTCCGGGACAGTGACAGCAGAGCACTAATGCCATGCTAGGCTCCAGGCCCACACGCTGGTCCTGCTGTCTGTCATCAGCGTCCACTGTTACCGCAGCGACGTCTCAGGACCCCAGGCTGTTTCCCACGCTGTGCTTAATCGTAATGCATCAGGGCAGCATGTAATCATCTCATCAAAGCATCGTATGCCTCGCAAAAGGAAATAAGTGTTTATTAAACTGATATGACAGTTGTGGCAAATATATTTCATTTTAACCAACGTCAATGTCACCAGTTTAACTAAATTTAGCTTATGCCATGCAGAGCAATTACCCATTAACCCTAACTTACCTTGACAGTAAGCTTTTCGACTGAAAAGACACGGCTAAATATACCGCCCAACTACTATAGGCTCCTCAAGGATGAACCGTAAGTGCCTGGCTAGCTAGGAGCCACTTCTCAGAGCACCTCTGTCAATTGTCTGATTAATGCGTCTCCATTTGCGGTGCGTCTCCCAGTGGGGGGAAGATGTTTGTATTTGGAGCCACACGCAGAGTAACTGACTTGGTTTTTTGAACTGCATGGATTCCCTGTCCTGGGGCCACTTCAAGTCCCACATCCCATGGTGTAGAATTGCTTTCTTTCCCCCTAAAACATTCTTCCACAATTGAGATCTTATTGGTTATACTGAGGCTCACTACAGACATTTCACTTTGTGTGTCTTTTTCAAACACTTATCCCAGTCACTGTCCAGCCTCAAATTTAGAGGCAAGTTTTCCTTTAGAGGATGATCGAGCACCAATATTTTCTTTCTTTCTTTCTTTCTTTCTTTCTTTCTTTCTTTCTTTCTTTCTTTCTTTCTTTTTTTACCAGGTACCAGGTACCAGGAATCAACTGGTACCAGGAATCGAACTCACAACCTTGAGCTTGCCAGGCAGGCACTGTGCCACTGAGCTAAATCCCCAGCTCCCCACACCTTTTTTTTTGAGACAGGATCTCACTATGCAGTTCAGGCTGGCCTTGAGCTCACTCTGTAGCCAACTTGCAATGATCCTCCTGCCTCAGCCCCCCAAGTGCTGGGATTACAAGTGTGTGCCACCTTGCCTGGCTAGAACCAATGTTTTCAAAGACCACTAAAGTCCTACCAATTCATAATTCCATATCATACATGCTAGACACTCAAATTTTTTATCTTTCATGGCATATTCACAAATAGGAAAACTGAACCACCATGACCAAAGGTGTTACAGAGTACCCACAAGTCTGACAGGAAAGTTTTCTTTAGGAAACAGTTCCACTAAAAACAGCATGGGAATAGAAGTAACTGAAGATATTCAAGAAGTAGTAAATACATGACTCTAAATTAGTATGACCTTTTAGTATGGTTTGTATTGTAGGATAGAAAACTAACCCCCTAGCTGACACTCAAGACAGTCAAAGCCTCCCATAGCTCAATATCCCACTATTTTCTATTTGAACCAGAAGATAAGCAGCAAATGATTTCACCTGTTGTTGTTTTTTTTTAAAAAAAAGGTATTTACATTTTAAAAATGCAATGAAATGGGTTTCCTTCCTTTTTTAAGACAGGGTTTCACTATGCAGTTCAGGCTGGCCTCAAATTCACCTTGTAACCCAAGCTGGCCTCAAACTCAGAGATCCTCCTGTGTCAGCCTCCAGAAAACAGATGAAAAAGCTTGATATTTTACAGTACAACTGCCCTTGGTCATCCTTGATTTCCGCTGACTGTATGTTGAGTTCCTGCTTGGCTGTCATCTCAATTGCATCTATAAATGTTCTATCAACCATGTCCACACCTCTCCGTGTTCAGGGGCAAGACAAGACATCTGCTCTGACTGTACTCAAGGTTCTATCCAGGATAATTAGACAAGAAAATAAATTCTTAACCACTAAACAGTTTACCCCGGGCATCATTCAGGCAGCACATTTATGTACTGACATCTCCTGGGCATCATTTGGGCAGGTGTTACCAGCTGATTCTTGCATTGAATAAATTTGATAAAATTGTTTTTATATTTCCTGTTATATTGTCTTATAAAAATTAAAGAAAACATGCAATTTGGGTCATTCTATATTTAAATAATTGGGCTGGTAAGTGGTTCAATATCTAGAAAGAAATAAAACTATCTCTAATTGCAGACGACATGATCTTGCACGTAGAACATCCTGGTTGATCCACTGAAAAGCTACTAGAACAAACAAGTTCAGCAAGGTTGCAAGATACAAGATCAATATACAAAAGTCAATTGTAGGGCAAGCAGAGCAGGGGGAAGAGGACGCAAGGTGAGTTGCATGCATGCAGGGTCACTCTCCCTGCAGCTCCCTGCACTCCCGGGCCCACAAAGCTGTGTTTCTGCCATCCAACAATGGGCCTGATGAACAATGGGCCTCCCATGTGGTGTGCTGGGGGTCTGCTGCTCCTGGGGGTACTGCAGGTGATGGCAATTGCAAGGGCAGGGGGGCAGAGCTGCCCCCCTGGGATCCCCCAGGGATCTCCAGAGACTGCACAATTCCAGTAGTAAACTAACAGAGACTGTGTCTTCCAATAATACAAGCAAATTCAACATTAGCAGCAGCACAGTAAAACCATTAACAACTATGGTTTTCTTGGTCTCAATCAACATGACAGCTGTCACCATGAAATCCGCAGCAACTTCAAAAATGGCAGCATCAGGAGTCTCAACCAGTACAACTCCCACCACCTCAAAGTCTACACCTAAAGCAACGAGTCTGTCACAGAACATATCCCAGATATCAACACTCATGATGACCACAGCCCACAATAATTTGGTGACATTGCTAACAGCCATTCATTCTAAAGAAAATAGAAGATCAAAATTCGATCCTGGCAACTTTGTTGGTGGTATTGTACTGACACTGGGAGTCTTATCTATTCCTTATATTGGATGCAGAATGGGTTAGGGTTAGGGTTAGGGTTAGGGTTAGGGTTAGGGTTAGGGTTAGGGTTAGGGTTAGGGTTAGGGCAGTTGGTACAGAACCATCGATGAACATGAAGCCATCATTTAAGGATATCCAAGAACCAAGCAAAGAAGAAAGATTGATGCAGCTCTATAATTTTGGTTTATTAGTTTAAAACCATATTCTGTCCTTAAAATAGTGTAAATGGGCCAGTTAAATGATCAATGATGTATTACATAAGTGTGTGAAGACTGCTTATCATTACTTAAGGTAAAAATGCCTTAGTTTAAACATTTAAATGAACAACTGGACCTTACAAATAATCTATGCAATGGTTATATTCACATTTAGCAAGTACATCAGAGTCACACAAGTCCTGTCTCATGTTTTCTGTGGCATTGGTCACACAGGACCAGTCACTGAAACCCCACTGCACAGCGGGAGGCCATCTGGGTTTACAGTCAAGGAGCTCAGTGTAGC